AAAGAGTTAATTTTGTGACAAAATCTGCCATCGTATGCTTGTTGATTTTCCTTACTGTTTGATATTGTTGATTACTGGACTGAAGGTCAATATTATTTATTTCTATGAGTTGAGCATCATGATCGGATAAGCCATTTATAAAGGGTCCTACAGTATAGGTACAGTAATGTTACTTATTTGACAGATTTATGCTTCAAGCACTCAGAGGAGTCATGTTGTCATCCAGTAGTAATCCATATATATCACTGTGCCCTTAATTTCTCAAATTTTTCTTGTAAAGTTTCTACTTTCAGATATTATTGAATAACCTGGTTTTTGATTGTAGTCTTTATTGTAGGATTTGAGGTTCTCAAAGCAATGGTTGTGAAGAGTTCTGTCTTGGAATATAACACAATGTAGTCCATTGAAAGTCAGCCACTATTTTTGAAGTACATGTTTGCCAACATCTGCAGGGTTGAAATATAAGTCAAGCAAGAAACCAGCATGAAGTAGTTAATGATGCCAGTTGACGTTCAACAGAGTACATGGCACTATATCCCAGAATAGAGAACACTTCTTAATCTTTCTTATTTGTTAATATTTTGTAGAAACTTCATGGAATATGATTTCAGGCACTTGTTAAGTTGGTCTCCTGGGCATTCCCAGACTTCAAATTTTCATGGCTGGTGAAGGAGACGAAACGGAACATCCCCATTGAGTTGGATTTTTTACAGGAAGGCCATAATGCAGAAAAAGTGGACAAAATGTTCGGTCATTTGCCTTGGCTTAAGGTATGACATCTAAATTAAATAATGTCTGATAATTAATAAATCACAACCTTGAATGTGATCCTCCCTTTTGTCCAGTGTGTGAGAGTAAATGAGAGACAACTGGAAGACAGACATATGTTGTTAGTTTTGGCAGATGAATATGTAATGTGACTTTGGTGCTGCTGTCTTTGTCTTTGTTTTTTCCTAGAAGAATGTCTTCTGAGAGCATCAGACAAGATCTGTGATTTCATGAATTGTGTCCTGTCCAGTAAGTGCCATGGACTATTTTCCTCTGAGCAAACAGCAGGAGGATGAAGCTGACCTCTCACCTCCTCTGATGCTGAGGTTAAGAATGAGTGGAACTATAACTACTCAGCATACATGTGATGCTGAATTAATTAAGCACAAGGACAGCTTTTTCCTTTACATCTCCCAATTATTAAAAGTAATGTAAGAGTTTAGACCACCTCTGTGGTCTAGTGGTCAGAGTTCCTGGTTACAGATCCAGAGGTCTGGGTTATATTCCCGGTGCTACCAGATTTTTGGAGAGGTAGTGGGTCTGGAACAGGGTCCTCTCAACCTTGTGAGGATAATGGAGGAGCTATTTCAAGGAAATAGAGTCTCCAGTCTAGAAAACTGAGATTAATGGCCGTGGGGATCTGTTGCGCTGACCATGCAACACTGTCTATCCACCACAGTTAGCACAAACTTTGCCGACAAGTGGCGGTTGCTCGGTTGGTATGGTTCGTTTGTGGACTACAGACCATGGAGTTTTATGTAAGGGTTTATTGTAGCTAATGAAAGACCATTTTCTTCTAGGTGCCTCATGTTTACTGGAATTTATCAACAAGTCGAGTTTTGACTATGGAGTATGTGGAAGGTGGGCAGATCAATGACTTGGCATACATTCGCTTCAACAACATTGATCCCTATGAAGTAGCAGACAAACTTAGTCAGCTGTACTCACAGATGATTTTCATTCATGGTTTTGTGCACAGTGATCCCCATCCAGGGAACATTCTGGTCAAGAAGACTCAAGCAGGAGGAGTGGACATTATACTACTAGACCATGGACTGTATGCAGTGAGTTTCAGTATACTAAACTAGAATTCTTCTACAGAAATCTTTATTAGAATCCTTCACAACACGACCACAAGACGGTCAAGGTCAGAATTATCTTAACTACATGTTTCGGCTTTTAAAGCCAACATCAGGCAGAATACATGGTTATTACACTAGCAAACTATTGAATTGCATTTCAGTATGATGGTCTCGTAGTTGTGTTGCGACAGATTCTAATATTCTTGTATGATAAACACAGCAAGATGCACTCAGTGAAAATTAGACTTGTTTGCTGCTGAAATAATCAATTTAAAGATGTATGGAAGGAAAATAACTTTTATTATTGAAAGATGTTATTCTTTGCTGAATAAACTTTAATTTATGTAATAAGGCGCACACTCGTGCACCCCCCCCCACACACACACACACACACACACACACACACACACACTTTTTTCGTGCGATCCACTTATTTTATCTGCATTTTGGTACTTTAGACAATGCACATGTTAGAAATATGTTATAGTAACCATCTGTTATTGATGGTAACGCCAGTATTTGTATTATGGCTAAAAGGTAGGCGTACACCAGGTGTTTGTAAGGAGGATATCAGATGAGACCATTTTACTGCACTACTGGGAATGTTACAGTTTATGTCTGGAGTAGAGCAGGTAGCCCCTACATATCCTTCCTTCCTTCCTTCCCTTGGCACTACAGCCCTAGTGGGCCTAGGCCTACCTCCATGAACTTCTTTGTTCACTTCGGTTTTTCTAGATCTTACACATTCGGTAGGACTCCTTGGGTGGGTGATCAGCTCGTCGCAAGGCCTCTACCTGTAAACAAACACAGAAAAACGCACACAAACATCCATGCCCTGAGTGGGATTCGAACCCACGATCCCAGCTTCCGAGCGAGCGAAGACAGTACATGCCTTAGACCGCTCGGCTACCGTGACTGGCAGCCCCTACATATAATTTTCTATAATTAACTGCGTCTTTTTAATGAGTGGGAGGTGTCATCTATGGTACTCTTCACCATATTTTTTTTCAGTGTGATCAAATGAGGGAGGTTGGTTTGGGCAGGACATGCAGCGCGCATGGGACCCGACCTTGCCCCGTGTGACTTTTTTTTGTTTCCTCGAATGAAAAGAGACATGAAAGGAAAAAACGATGGAGGCGCTGTCAAGCATCTCAAAAGATGAATTTAGACAATGTTTTGAAAAATGGAATAAAAGACTAGACAAGTGTATTAGTGTAAGTGGAGAGTACTTTGAAGGGGATTGAAGGTTTGTGCTTAAAATTTGAATAAATAAGTTTAAAAAATATAAGTTCGGTTTCTTTTTGGTACCCCCTCGTAGTCTTGTAGGGGATTGCTGGGGTGATGATTCAAACTGTATGTCAACTGTTTTGTTTGTGTGTGCGTGAGAGAGAGATATATCTGTGCTTCTGCTGCCTAGTAAATGGATGTCTGCAATATTTCTGCAGTTCCAAGATTCTGTAGTAGATTTTAGAAGTTGGCACTAACTTCGCTGACGAGCAGCGGTCGCTCAGTCAGTATATTTCGCTTGAGGACTACAAGCTACAGAGTTTGTTTTGTGCTATCAAAATATGCTGTTAGTGACTGTGGAGTAGAACCACATGCCAAAATATCCCTTACAGTATTTGTAAATATACTGTAATATGAAATAATAAAATTGGGAAGGAGTCCTTTCACTTCTCTTGATGTGACAGTTTTAGTTAAGTACTAGACAGTTTGCCTGTAACGTGAATTTCCCTAATGGAAACTCACTGACAGAATGACAGTGTAATTATAACCAGGGTACCCATTAGTTTTTCTCTGTTACAGGAACTCAGTAATGAATTCAGATGGGAGTATTCAAAACTATGGTTCAGCATCCTAAATAAAGACAAGAAAGGAATGCAACAGCACAGCCAAAATTTGGGTGTAGGAAACTTGTACTTCCTGCTGGCCTGTATGGTCACAGGCCGGACATGGGACACTATAATGTCTGGTATCCAGAAGACAAAGTGGACTAATAGTGAGGTAATATGAATGTTGTGTTGCAGGCGTGTAAAACTGTCATCTAAGGGAAGAACGTTTAAGTTGAGGGATATATGAACCCAAAAATAGAAGAAGTAATTGAAATTGGAGAAGGGTGTATAGTGAGGAGCAGTGTGATTTTTATTCTTCACTTGATGCTGTTGTTGTTAAGTGTTTAAGTCATGAAAGATGAGATGTGCGGGATAGCATAAATGGAGACTTTGGAGGTGCATACAGTTTTGGTTCTGAAACCTGCGAAATGAAGCCACATGGGAGATGTGGACATAGATAGAATATATTTTCACATGTTGGAGTGAGTATGGATGGGGTTTGGATTGGTAATTTAATTTAATGACCCCTTACAGATCCTGACTACAAGGTAATTGATACACTATAAAATTCATTACAGTGCACACAAAGCCTTTTCACTCTGCTGTGTCTTCAGCAGTTGTTGCCTGGTAATGACTTCCAGTGGTGGATGTTCCCCTTACACTGGGTTCCCGAACTATCCCTCTGCCTCAGCTACCAGCTTCACCACAGCAATCTTCTAATTCATTCACTTGCTCACCAGCCAACTTACTTCATTTCATTGAACTCAACTCTACTAACTCATCAAGCAACTGCTTCACTGAACTGAACTGAACTCCATTCCACTCCCCTCTCCTCATCTCTGCTCTGCTCCGCTCCGCTCCTGATGTAGCCCCAGCATGTACCACACAGAAAACAGCTTTTCTGTTGTGGCGTGTGTTTATGTTGTGGCCATTACCTAGCAACTATGGCTGTTCAAGGAGTCACCACTTATCAGTGGGTCTACATGGTACAATATTGGAGTTAATTTTAAAGAAACGTGATATGAGGAGGATGTGGGCTGGATTCATATGGCTCAGGATGCGGTCTGGTAGTGGGCTCCTGTGAACATGGTCGTGAATTGTTCTCGGCTAGTGGAGCAACTGTTAGTTTCTCAGGAAGGACTCTGCTGCTTGAAATTACCTCTTACTGTAATCTGTTCATCAAAACCGTGACAGATCCATGGTGTCGCTCAGATACTTGATACTGGTCAAATGGGAATCAAGAATAAAATAAAGACTTTACCTAATTTTGTTCTGTAATCTCTAACAAGAGAACAATTAATATATCTGCCATGGCACATGTCAATAATCATCAGCCATGTGTGTTTCAGCCAGAGAGTGCCTAAAAGCCTTTTCCATTTTTCGTTTACTTCTCATAAGTATTCCTGTCATGTCTGTGCCCATGAACCCACTTTATCTTCCCTTGTGTTGTCTGTTAACCTAGTCTGTGACTTCCCCAGTGGTTTTATGTGTGATCTTGGTTCAGTAATTCTGTTGTCATTCTTGTACAATGCGCTTCCATATCACTTTGTACAGTGAAGAGTACCATCTTCTATAATGTGATACCATGTAGTATGGTAGCAGTTTACCATATTTTCAGAGGAACATACTGCCTCCATCTTTGAAATTGTGCTTGCCACTTGGTTGTTCATCTAACTCTTGAGCATTGAAGTCCAAAATGTTGATAAATTTCTGCTAGGCTATGTGTTCTCATAGACCAAAAGACATTACTCTTCATTGGCACTGTTGTGAGAACCTCGGATCTCAAATGTTATATGTTTTGACTTCAGATATTACCTAATGTTCCAGTTCCGTATTTCTTCCTTTGTGCTTATTTCATCCCATTAAAGTATTTTATCTATTGACATTTCAGAAAAATATTCGGGATAAAGAGATACCCCATCTCCTGCCGCAGATCAGTGATGTTCTAGATAACATCAATCGCCAAATGCTTCTTATACTGAAGACAAATGATCTGATGCGAGGTGTGGAGTTTACGCTCAAAGCTCAGAACAGGTAAACAGAAAACTGGGATGAGATAGCTCCTTAATTTTGTTTTTGAATTGTTGGTATGTGCATTGTATGCATGCTCATGTGTGCTCATTGAATTTGAAATGGAAAGCTGACGAGAATGTTTGGGCCGAAGGTGAAGAATATTGCTAATGAGGAGCTCCATAATATAGACTCTTCAGCACATATTCTTAGGTTGATCAAATCAAGGATGAGGTATTTTGGAAAAGAAGCATAAATGTGATGGATGTGAAATGCATGCAATGGTTTCACCCAAAAATTGTAAGAAGAAACCACTTTGGAGACCTAGGCATAGTTAAAGATGAAATTGTCCCTGTGCTGAATTAATTAAGTACCATATCATGAAGACAAATGGGGGAATATAGGTACAACTCCATCATTCTTGACCACAGCATCAGATGGAGGTGAGTGATCAGCTTCAGGCACCAGCCTCTTTACCCTCATGGTAGTCACCCCTGGTACCCATTGGATAGGAGGCTGGTTGGGCACCAGAGCTGGTCTGGATGCTGTGGAGAAGAAAAAATCTTGACATGTTGGGATTTGGACTCAGGCTATCGAGCCTGTAGCACGCCACTATACTGGCTTAGCTATTCCGACTCCTAGACATAGATAGGAAGATGATATTAAAATCTTAGAGAAATAGGATTTAAATGCATGAACTGGATTCATCTGGCTCAAGATAAGGATGTCTCATGGCCTCTTGTGAGAATGGTAACAAAATTGGCAGAAGTAGGTTGTAATTTCTTTCTTGTTTAGCCATAACCCCACCACTAGAATGTATCCTGAGCCAGCTTAGTCCATTCCACACAATTTCACATCCCACCCTTTAAGATCCAATTATATATTGTCTGCTTATGTATACTGGTCTCCTTGAGATTTTCTAACCAAAATGTTCCTGCGTGCTTGCAATTTCCTGCATAGGTGTTACATGTTATGGCTTTCTCATCCTTGACTGAGTCACCTAAATAATACCAGGTGGAAAAGGAGCTCCTCATTGTATAATCTTGTTCACTTCCTGTTACTTCATCTCTTTAAGGTTCTGCTATCATTCCTAGCACATTGTTCTCTGTTTGCTTCCCACAGGCTTGGTTTGAATTATCCAGTATTAAACAAATTAGTTGTACTTTAAAACTTTTTCTTATTGTTTTAGGAAAACATCATTCTTGGTGATGTCTCGGTGTGTCATCCAGAGTGTCTATGGAGAGCGTTTGAAGCTATGCAAGACTTGGCTCTCACGCTGGAGTACAGTCATGTCTGAACGCTGGGCACTTTTTAAACTGTCTGTGTACTACACGTACCTGAGCATAATTAGTCTTCCATTAATTAGCAGCATGTTTGATTTAATGAAGAAGTCGTAACAAAATATAATTCATTGTCACAGAACTTTTATAGATTATTGAAAAGAAATATTATGCCCCTGATAATGAGACTTTGTCAGATTTAAGAGACTGAAAATACCGTTACTGCAGCTTTTGTGCCTTATGTTATTAGCTTGTTACCTGTAATTTCTTCTCTAGTTCCAGAGTAATGATAGAAAACATTTTGTATTCACTGCTTGTATGAAGAATGCTATGTAGTACAGGAAGGTTAAATGAATTAAAGGTTTAAGATTGACAGGTATGCAGCATGTATGGGCTAAGAGAGAAGTGAAAATATAATTCTAACTGGAAAACCTTATATAAATAGACCATTTTGGAAATTGAGGTGAACTTTGGAAGATAATATTCAGATGGATTAAATTTTATATGGGAATGTGAATGGAGTAATCTTGTGAGTTATAATGCTATGTAGTTCAGTAAAAGAAGTTCACTGACATTTCAGAGGAACATACCATCTCCATCTTCAGGGTTGAAGAGTAAACCAAGCAAGAAACCAGCATAAAGCAGGTGGCAAACATAGAAATAAGTAAAGCTCTGCTTGATGCCATCTTGTTATCAGTGGACTTTAATTGAGCTGCATGGCTTTACAATCCAAAAGATTGTGCTGTTCATAGTGACTGCTCTGCAATCCAAAAGATTGTACTATTCATAGTGACTGCTGTGTAAACCTCAAATCCAACAGACTTAAACTTACTTAGAAGATGGTTTAGGGTTTGGAATTTTGTGTTGCAGGTAATGAACTTTCAGAGTGTTTCTTGAATAGTGGAATGTCTGTTGACTGCTTCAGAATGACTGTACAATGAAGTTTATTAATGTTATAAACGGTTACTGTTGGGTATGTGTTCAAGGGTTGTTTTCACTTAGAAAAGACATTTGAATGTTATTCAGATGAAATGGCTGATGGGCAGAACATTAATTAATGAATGAAATATGTGTATATTTTCTGCACTCTTGAGTGTGTGGACAGGAGATGCAGAAGTTTGAGCTAACAAGTACAAGTTAATATAAAATGGATATCAGATATCTTGAAGAAAGCAGTCTTCTGGGATGTGGTGCCACATCCCAGAAGAATGCTTTCTTCATAGTCACCGCCATGAAAACCCCAAATCTTACATCAGATATCTTGTTAAACAAAGTAAGCTAATTTTGTAACTCAGTTCATGCTACTAGATTATCAAACTAAAAATCATTTATAATATGATGAACAATAAAAAAGGCATCAAGATTAGGGCATCTTTATTAGGATTGTAAGTTTCAGTGGTCCCCCACCACCACCACAAGGTAAGAAAACCTCATCAGAGAGTTGGATTCTGTAATACTGGGTATTGCTTCAGAATCTGTGTGATTAGATTCTGTGCCGTGTGATGGAAAAATAACTTAGACTGCCGGTGAACCCCAGCTTAGGAACAAAATGTGTTCTTGAGATGTGTTTGTAAGTTGAATGTATTTTTTTATTAAGGTATGTTGTTAAATTTGTTAATGTGTTAAAATGTTCATTAAATGAATTGAGAGTTGCAGTTCATTAGCCTATGCAATGTTTGTAAATACATTGTTGTTTCTTGAAAGTTTATAAGTAGAGGTTTGCCTGTAATTCCAATGGAGACATATTCTTAAATAAAGTAGACTATGAAGCGTAAAGTACCACCAATTCACAGTCAGGTTTCAGATATGTTTTGGTATCTGAAATAAAAATTTCAACCTTATATGAATTTTTTCTTCAAATACACATCATTACATGAGATGTTGGCTGGGCAGCAGCATCTTATGCATGGACAGCAGTGGGATTCTTTTTAGAGCATCAAAATGAAGATTTGGTGGAGTGGGTGATTGTACATATTATAGATACAGAACAAATATTTTGATAGAGATGGAAACATTCTCCTTTTATTCTGTATTGATGTAATTGGTTGTTTGATAAGATTTCATTTCATTCAGCCACAGCTCTGAGGATTTTATGTATCATAAAAATGAAGATGTTAAATAGACAGACAGTGGGGTATGGGACTGAGGTCATGTTAGAGCATGTGAAGGTATATATGCAAATGAGATAAGAGAAAGAGTGGACATAAAGAGAAATCCTCATAGGAGATTCTGTAAGAATAGAAAGGCTTCGATTGGACCCACCCTACTGGAAATGCCAGCGCATGATAACGATGACATAAACAACATAAATTTTCCAGCAGATGAACTGCAACATTTAAAAAAACAGATATATCTGTGTTTATTCCAGGAAAACATTCTGTACGTGTATACAGTCACCAGAATTTATCTTAAAAGTCAGGTAACAGATTAGGGGAAACAACCCAAGAAGGATTTGAGAATTTTTCAACTTGAAACAAGTTTTAGACTGGAATAAACATCACTTCTTACTGCAGGATATGTTATGTTTTTGTAATTAGTTTTATTTCATCATGTATTTGGACTCTGCTGACATGCTGATCATAGTCAAAGGTTTCCCTTTCAGGTTTAGGCATTATTTATTGACTGCTCTTCATTGCACTTTGTTTTTAATATGTACAATGAAACCCCAATTTAAGGTTTCTTTGGGGAGCAGTAGATTTGAGCACTAAACTAAAGAAATGGAGTCATTTAAACAGTGAGAATATTTACCTTATTAAATGAGGGAAAATGGTAAATTAAGGAGCATTAGATGGGGTTTCATTGTGCCACTAATGTGGCTGTAAGTAGTAATTAATAATAAAACAGTTATATTGTACTATAAAAGCTATTCAGAAAAAATTAAGGTTTAGTACATTAGAAGCTCAATAAAAAAAATTGAAGGGCATGCTGTATGATACAATATTTAAATACTTGTATATGTTCATATTCCACTAAAATTCCCATAAATTTCACATGTACATATTTATGAAGGTGTATTAAAATATATTTTCAGAAATGTGTAGAATATGTTATTAACTTATTTTCTCTGGTGTATTTAGGTCGTGCAATAACTAGTTCTCTGTATAGAGTTTTAATTTCATATGTCATATGTGCATATTTATGAAGGTGTATTAGAATATATTTTCAGAACTGTGTAGAATATGTTATTAAATTATTTTCTTTGGTGTATTTTGCTTATTCAATAACCAGTTCTCTGTATAGTGTTTTAATTTCAGTTACATAATTATAAAATAAGTTTTCATATTGTATAATTTACATCGGTATATAATTTATGAAAAAAGTATTAAGTTACATTTTCTTTAATGTTTTATTGCAGCATCCTATTGCACTGCATAGATCTGGCACTTTGTTTTGCTTTTATGCCTTCTGTGTGGAACCTTGGTTATTATTCACTTATCATTTTTCTTTATTGACACTACTTGTTTCGGCCAGACCGGCCATCTTTAGCTGTACAGGTTGTTTTGATGAAGGAATCTGCTGCTCATTGTAAAGCTGTTTTGTTTCTCATATGTGGTTACCTCAGATTACTTCTGGTTGTGGGGGTTAACCATCTGTTTAATTTTTGTGTCCGTCAGCTGCAGATGTTTTCCGTAACAGTTACCTGTAAATTTTTTGTTTTGTTTATGTACCTTTGTGTAATACAGTGGGGATAGGAACAAAATTACAGATTATATTGATAATGTGGGGGATAGTTACGTTTTGTATGCCTTGTTGGAGTGTAGTGTGAGAGACGTTATACTGGCTATGGGTTGGATGACGGGTCGGAGTTTGAGTCCTGGTAGGATCAAGAATTTTCTCTTTCCATGTCATCCAGACTGGATCTGGTGCCTACCCAGTCTCCTATCCAGTGGGAACTGGGGGCTCTTTCCCTAGGGGTAGAATGGCGTGAAACTGACCACTCACCTCCAGCTAGTGCCGAGGTCAAAATGTGGATCTGTACATCCACTCCTGTATATGCATTCATGGTGTAGTGCTTGTTTAGTTAAGCACAGGACGTTACCTGTGAGAGACATTATTGCTTTTATATTTTGTCTCTGAGCTAGATGACGCGAGATTAACTTCTTGTAGGGAAAGGCATTGTTTCTTCATTCCCATGACTAGACCAGCTCTAGGGCTAATCAAATGGATGCTGGGGACTACTCCATGCAGGACTAGGCTGGGTAGCCAATGAAACTGACCACCTATCACACGCAGTGCTGAGGTTAAGAATGCATGGAGCTGTACTTCCACTTCCCATATATTTTCATGGCATGGTATTTAATTAAACATGGCCAGGATTTTATCGTTGGGCCTTTTTACTTCAGTGTTGATTTTGTTACATCAATATTTTATGTAAATTAGGTGCACCAGAAATATGTCGTGTAATTTGTGCATCCACATTTTAGTTCTGCAAGTGTGTAGAAATATTGTATTCATTTATGACAGATTTATTGGATGCTAGTTTAAAAGTTTGAAACATAACTTTTTGCAGGCCACAGAAATATCAGGATGTGTTTTGACATCCAGAGCTTGGAGAATTCAAACATAGATGTACTTAGAGTAGAAAGCAACCAGCTATATGAATACTAATAGGAATTATTACCTTCTACACAGGAAATGTCTATGGACAGGAAGTTATGTAAGGCATAAACAGAATAAACAAAATATTTTATAGATTCTAGTTAAAGGAAGTATTAACAATATTTTTATTTACAGCTATACAAGTAATTTATTTGGCAACAGTAGAAATATTTTCAGTGTTAGTATCTGAGAGCATAGTAAAGTGACTAATAATTTCACATGCCACTCATGATACAGCTATGATTCTTGACCACATGTACATCTATCCAATGTTCTTATATCTTAACACAGAAATGATTGCCAAGTTGAACCATCAAAATCAACTGATGATAATTTGGAATTATACTAGGGGTGTAACAGAGCAATAATGCCTGGAGTGTGAAGCTGCACATAAATTTGGAGAAGAAAAATGGTCATTTTGGGAATATTAGTGTCCTTGTTACTGAGCAATGTCAGAGCCTTGAATGGATGAGGAACACAGGTGATAGTGAAATATGCATGTCCAGCCAAATGAAAATGAAGTGTGAATAGGCTTGTGTTCTGCCCACATTCTCATTAAGAGAAGTTAATGATCATGAAATAAAGGAATAGGAGTGATAATGTCATACAATTGAATTTGCTGTCTTAGGAATGTTAGTTCAATGTCATCTATTTTCCTGGAGATCAGTTCCATTCAGAATAGTTTACAATCGGATACGTTTTCAGTATATATTCCCATACGTTCCCATAAAACCGTGCTGTGGGGGTTTTGACCATTTTGACTGATTTGTGACAACTGACTGTCACCGGACGTCACAGAGTCCAACTATGTGTGCTGTGTTGGGATGATGTTCGGGAGTACCTTTGCCCTTGAACCCCTTGAAGCCTTGCATGCATATATCGGTCAGTGTCACTCGGCGATCCGTGCTTATCACGCTGCTTTCTAGCCGTCTGGGTTCTGTGAGCGTCTTGTAGGTCTTGTAGCAGTGGGGTGCAGTTAAACTTGGAACGTTACAGGTGTTCTCGAAGAATGTTCTCCGATTACGGACAGGAATGCATAGTGTCGATTTCGTCGTGGGATTCATTTAAAATACATCTATTATCATTCACATGTGGATTCTGGGTTATTTTGAAAAGGTTAGCACAATGGGCATGGAACCCAAATGGATTTTTTTCGTTGCAAAGAAGGGAAGCCCCGCCCCCATGCCTAGTAGATTCTGCATTAGGGCGACATTCATATGTGAAGCTGAAGGTAAGTTGAGGTATTTATGTTACTAGTACAGTTTAATTCGACAAATACACCGAAAATATTTTGTTAAGCACAAATGTCTGATTTGCATTACAGGTTGCCGAATTTGAACGAAACTTGTAACCTCACTAATGTGACCGATGCTATGATCGTCAGTTATTTATTTATTTACTTAATATCCATGGACCATTATACATGATATAGGACAAGTCAAATACTTTACAATAATAAATAATAATAATATAATGTGATGATTCTAATAATAGAACTAATATAATCGTTTAACACACGACACCGCTGTACGCCTCAAGACCCGATCCTTCTATCCCGGCACAAAATACCCTGGTATCCTCGATCTCGTTCCTGTAATAAAAAAATACGGAGTAGGGCAGTAGGCATTCCTATAACATTACTAGTATTAAAATCTACAAGTTAATTATTCTTGAAATATATGTTTACAAGTGATTAGAACTAGGATTTGCCCCCAAACAAGAGAAACTCGTCTATACTATAGAAACAATGATCAAGCAGGAATGTTTTCAAAGTCTTTTTAAACTTGTATAGTACTGGTATCTGTTTAATATATTGTGGCAACTGATTTAACAAACAAAGTCCAATATTATTGAAATTGTTTTTGTATAGACTTGTATTACATGGCACTATGCACAAGACCTCTTTTCTCCTTGTATTGTGCGAGTGTATTCCTGAATTGGTTATGAAAACATGCAGATTGGTTTTTATGTAAACTAGAATTTCATATATATATGCAGACATGGTAAAGGTAATATATGTAACGATTTAAAATATTGTTTACAACTAATTGTTTTTGGGATTTGCATCATAGCTCTAATAGCCCTCTTCTGCAACCTAAAGATCAGTTTTGCGTTTCCTAAATTGCCCCAAAATATCAATCCATAAGGACTGAAAATAAGCATAATATAAGGTGCGAACAGTCTCTAACCCTGATACTCTTTTGAATACACGTAAGGCAAAACATATTTTACATAATTTATTTGCTAGCTGTTGAGTATGTGCAGTCCACCTTAGATTCTGATCCAACCAAACTCCCAACAATTTTGTATGTTCTATATAACTGATGACTGTATCATAGAGCATTATTGATGGGCATACGACGTGTACTTTTTGACATTGATGAAAGGATATTGCTGTTGTTTTTTCTTTATTAATAATTAATCTATTAATGTATGTATGTATGTATGTATGTATCTATTCCTTTCATACCACTCTTTGAGTGCATTTATTGTTTTATTTATTTTCCTTTGGGCATCATTAGCACTATTTCCTGTTATAAGAATACTAGTATCCTCGGCAAAAAACGTTGGTCTTCCATGTTCAGTGCTGGCTTCTAGATCATTGATATATAGCAAAAACAACACTGGTCCGAGAACAGCACCTTGTGGGATTCCATGTCTTATGGGTCTCTTTTGTGATAGATAGTTAATGATTTCATTAGTTTCTTTACATCTGTATATAATTTACACATTTTGTTCCCTGTTTTCTAGATATGATTGAAACCATTTTAGTGCAACCCCTCTTATTCCCATTCTTGTCATCTTCCTTAGCAATATATCGTGATCAACTAAGTCAAATGCCTTTGACAGATCCAGAAATATCCCTTTACTTATTTCCCTCTCATCCAATGATTTGTAGACCCTTTCTATAAACTCTGCAGTTGCAGTATTTGTCGATTTCCCTTTACAGAAACCATGCTGCTTATTGTTAATTATGCTCTGATTATTCTCATATCCATTTTCATTAGCTTAGGTCGTTTATCCAAAGAATCCGTCCAGGTCTGAGGCTTTGTGTTCATTTTCATAACATAATGATTTTTTTATGGTGAGGAGTTGTAAGCCCCACGACAAACCTCCAAGCTGGAGGGCCACCCCTTGTCGGCTGTTCGCAACTACTTATTCTATATATTCGCAGCTTCCCTCCAAAACTGGAGGGTGTCTCCTCCATGCGCAACCTTAGGACGCGCCATGCCATGGTGACAGGGACCAACTTCTGTATCACATCCTTTCAAAGGTTTCACTTTTGCAATTTTAAGTTGATCAGGAAAATGCCCAGTTGAGAGTGACAGATTTATTATGTGTGTCAAAGCAGTTGTTATTTTAGGATAACATTTTTTAATAATATACTCTGGAATATCATTTATTCCCGTTGATTTTTTATTACTCAATCCTTTAATTATGCCTGCCACTTTCTCTTCAGTAGTTGGGGTTAAGAACATTATGTTAAGTTGGGGTTAAGAACATTATGTTACTGCTATATTTACTGTATTGACATTAACTTCATTGGTTTTGGATAATGGATTGCCACTCAGTACCTTTTGGGCAATACTGGTATAGTATTCATTAAAGACATTTGGCTGTAGCTTTTGATTCTTGTATATTTACTCCATTCTCACTTATTTCAATATTCTTCGTTGCTTTTTTCTGTTTACCTAGTTCCTCCTTAACTAGCTCCCACATGGCTTTTGTTTTATTCCCTGATGGTCTTATTCTCATGTTATTAGTTAATTTTTTTGTCTTCACTGATAACTTTGTTGTATATTTTTTGTAATGAGAATAGTATTCTTTAAATGCTTATGGCATATTTCCTTCTTTCATTAGACTATTAAGAAACCTGAGTCTATTCTCCGATACCCTTATTCCTGAGGTAACCCATTTACTTTCCTGCTATTTAGTTTTACCCTTTTTTAAAGGCATATCTGTATCGTAATAATACTGTAAAGTACCTAAAAATTCACTGTATGCCTCGTTCGCTGAATTTTGCTTAAAAACCAGCTTCCAAGTCTCTTTTTCTAGTAGATAGTTTAGGTATTGTACACTGTAAGATCTAGCTGTTCTGAATTCTTTCTTTATTCTAACTTGCCCCTTTTTATTCTTATACTGCATCTGTATTTGTAGTATCTGTGCTTTGTGGTCAGAAAATCCTGTTTCAATCACCTTAAGATTGTATCCCCATAAGCCCTTGTTCAATATTATTTGATCTAATGCTGTTTGATTTCTAGGTCCTATTCTTGTTGGGACATCAAGTATTGCTTGCAAGCCATATGAGTTTAATATTGTCTGTAGTTGTAGATTTACTCTTCCTAGGAAATCTATGTTGAGATCACCTACAATGATGATGCTCTTCCCTTTGTTTATTAAATTACTAATTATTGTGTCTATGGTTTCAATAAATATATTAGTATTACTGTTTGGAGTTCTATATACATGGATAATAATTGTATTAAACTGGATAAGTTTGATTATACTAGCCTCAAAGTGTTCTTCTTGATTCAAGTTTTCAAACAAGTTATAAGGCTTTGCTTCTAGATTTGTTTTGACATAGATACATGAGCCTCCATGCTGCTTATTTTTCCTACAGAATTTAGATATAAGGGAATAGTTTTCAAAATTATAATAACCTATTACGAAAGTAATAGATGCTACAGGTCGTAATTGTTTGTATGCAGGGAGTTAAGCTGCATTATGTGGAATCAGGAGACAAGGACAATCCACTCCTGCTTCTTTTGCATGGGTTTCCTGACTGTTGGCTTAGTTGGAGGTACCAGATTCCGATATTAGCACAACATTATAGGTAAGTATGAACAGATAATTAATTAAACTTTAATACTTTGAGTCCAGCACCCCTGCAGAGTCAGAAATCCAAATTAATGACTAAGATTGTAGTAATTGCGGGCATTTTATTGTGTACTGTGTATATGTTATAGAGTGTTCAAGGAATGATATTTGGCAAAGAAAATAAAATTGAGCCCACTTGGAGAAAACCTTTCCAGTGTCTTATTCGTTTTTCGTACATTGTCAAGTTCCATATCGATGATCTGAGTCTTATTTAAATGCCTGAGGCATGCATGCCAGGATTATCAACCTTATGGAGTGAACAAAAATATAGAAGTAAGGTTTGTTGATCTTATGAAATGAGAATAAAATTAAGTGGTATATATTTGAAATGTATTTAAATACAGAAATGTAAATGAAGTATAGTCAATGGAAAAATTGTGTACTTTCTAGAGTGGTAGCCCTTGATCTGAAAGGGTTTGGTGATTCAGACAAGCCAATGTGGAGACGTAGTTATCGTGTTGACACCTTATTGGCAGAGCTAAAGGAATTTGTTTCTGCACTTGGCGTTTCAAGTTGTACTGTTATTGGCCATGATTTGGGTGCAATGTTGGGATGGTATTTTATTCATCAGTATCCTGATATGGTGAAGAAGTTTGTAACTATTGCCTGTCCACATCCAAATGTGTACTGGAATGAACTCCCCACAGCCAGCACTTTCAATACAAGGTAATGAATTGTTTTAATAATAAGGGTGGAAGTAAGACAGAGCCCCTTGATCCTTTGGCCTAAAATGTACCAACCCCAAATGTTTATGAAGATGATAGATTTGCGTGGATTGTTGGTGGAATGATTGTTTGACAAGAAAAATTGAAGTTCTCAGAAAAAGCTTTCGTAATGCCACTTTGAGTTCGACTGCTATGGAATTTAATTAGATCTGAGAAAAACAAGAAATGCATATATTATTAGTGGGGAATTCCATGATGAACAGCCATGCAGAAGACTGAACCACAGATTTGAGGTTAGTATTCAAGTAGACCATAAGGGAAAAGCTTGTGAGAAAGTAAACCGGACTGCAATGAACAGCTCAGGTTCAATACTTAGTGTAGACTTTGGTATTATCCAGAATTGAATTTTTGGGTTCTGTTGTTAAAATATCACTTGTAGCCTCTCCAGTCCACTGTTGCAGTCAGTGCAGCAGTCCTCACAATGTTCAAACTGAAAATCCATGCAATCCTTTCTGGATTGAAGTGAGTTCAGATAACTGTAGGATACTGGAGAAAATTGCATAATAATGAACTTCATAACTTTTACTCCTCAAGCATAATTAGAATGATGGAAGTCAAGGAGGATGAGATTGGTGGATCATGTAGCATGCATGCGAGAAGAGGATTGCATACAGGGTTTTGGTGGGAAAACCAGAAGGAGAGAGATCACTAATAAGACCTAGATATAGATGGGAGGATAGTATTAAAATGGGTCATATAGAAATAGGATGGACTGGAGTCATCTGGCTCTTGATGGAGACCAGTGATGTGGTCTTGTTAACACAGTAGTGAACGTTTGGGTTCCGTAAAACGTTGTGAAATTCTTGAATAGTTGAGTAACTGTTGGCTTCTGAAGAAGGGCTCTGCTCCGTGGAATTAGTTAACGAGTTCATGTAAATAGACCATGATGGGGGTCATCTGAGAGACAAAATCCAATTAAGGTGCTTCTGAAATTCAAAACAAAATATTTAAAACTATATGTTTGTGCAAAATTGGATTTTGAAGGACATCATTGGCCACTTGTGGGTTTGTAATATTTTAGAAATCATGTTATCAAGTGCAATAATATTTTATTTGCATTTAAACTATTAAGCTGCATATTTTGATGCAAATTGTATCATCTGAAGGCCAAATATCCTTTTGAAATTTGTCATCATCACTAAAGTGCATGCATCCGTATTGTTACATAACATGTACCTCAATTTTTTTATTTTACTTTATTGTAAGTTGAACCTTCATGATTATTAGAATTATTATTATTATTAGAAGGTAAAGTTGTCCCTATGCATAATNATTTTAATTAAACCCTCACTAATCCAGAGTAATTGGGGGTAGAGGTCATCTGGATTGGTGGAGCAAAAGATAGCTCTAAAAGACAAAAAAAAAAAAAAAGTTAGAAAAGAAATAAATGTAAAATTTAATGATATAAATAGTGCTGATGAAAATAAATAAAAATTTCATTATAGAGCCTTTATTTAAAAACCATAAAAAGATAATACATTTATTCAGTGATAGAAGACAGAAGTATTACTTGTTTTTGAATGTAATAATGCAGGTTTGAAGAAACTCAAGTTTTGTCTGAACAGACAAGTGACTCATCTGTCTTCCTAAATGCCAAGTCATCTTTTAAAGTATGTACTCAACTGTGAACAGGTGCATGCGGTAGTGTAGTTGGTTGGGGCACTATGCCACAAGCTGGAAGGTCGTGGGTTCAAGTCCTGATGAGGTCATTGGATTTTCTTCAATTGACCTGATCCTTCTGGCCGCACTATGGCACTGAGGTCAACTCAGCCTCTAACAGAAATGAGTACCAGGAATTAATTCAGTAATTTTCCTGGGAGTAAAGCGTGGCCGGCGCTTAAGGCTGACAACCTTACCGCGATCTTTGAGCCAATTGTCTAGATAATGTTTGACCCTCAACGTCTCACAACCCTATGGGCCTTCACAGCCTGTTAAAGGGATAGCTTTACTTGTTTTTACTTTTTACTAAACTGTGAACAGCATGTTCTTCATTTTTCATATTTTGATGCAGATTATCTGACATCCGGATTAACTAACGGGATCAGAGAGGGTTTACTTTATAACGAAAAGCTAGAACAGTAAAATTCTATAACTATAAATATAAGGAGTGAGTAGCATACCATAAAACTGAAATATGAAAATACATGATATTTAATAAATTATTTTATGTGTATTATCTCTGTTGTATGGGAGATAAGCAATTTAAATAACACATTCTTACATGAGCAGCTGTTGGAGCATATATTTTTAGTTTGCATTTTAGATATGGGTTTTTACTTAAGTTCTCAGTAGTGATTTAGCTAATTATATAATTAATTTATCAGTTAAGGAGAAGTACTTGAGAACGATGTCACACTTTGCACTTTGAGTTATTTCCTCCTGTCGCATGGTAACAAAGGTCAGGAGCAGTACTATGTCTACAGTACTGGATTCAAGAGAGATGACTGGCTTTTTCAGATGGGTGCACTTTAGCCAGCTTCCATACTTGCCTGAAATTGATGCTCTGAAAGAAGATCTCAGTATTATCAACCAGTGTTTCCACCACCTGCATAAAGTGAACAGTAAAGAAACATACGTTGAAGCTTATAAATATGCTTTTTCCAGAAAAGGTATGGCATGTAAAGACAGATCCACATTGTGACAAAATATGAAACTGAGGCAATTGTAAGTTCTTTGTGTGTATGAGTTAATGGAATTTTTAAAGTTTGGAAAATTGTGATCATTATTAGAGGTTTTGGTGAAAGATAAGTGTATACTTTTCAGAGGATTGGACTGGCCCCATCAACTATTATAGGAACCTTCCGTTCAGCAGAGTGAGTGAAGAAAGCAAACAGGTGAATGTGCCCTGTCTCCTTTTGACTGGCAACAAAGATCAGTTTGTGAATTTGGAGAGTGTGGTGAAGTCTACAGATTATGTTCAGAATTTCTCCTTGAAGATTGTTGATGGTGCATGTCATTTCCCACATCAGGAGTCGCCAGATACGGTGAACAAAATGCTGCTCACTTTCCTAGTTGGTGAGCATTAAACTTCATGCCTATTACAGAATATTATGCCCAAATCTAATACTGTTTATTGTACTACACAGTCCGTCAACAATGCAACAAATTGTTCCTTCTTTCATACACTTTCACTTTTGACACAACATGTTTTGGCCGTAAATGGCCGTCTTCAGGTATCATACTATGCTAGAACTGCTACCCTGCACTAATATTGTCCATTTGTCACACATGTGACTGCATGCTTCATGATTTAAAACGTCATACTCATTTAGGGCTTAAACATGTTGTGTCGAAAGTGAAAGTGTAAGAAAGGAGGAACGATTTGTTGCCTTGTTGATGGACTTTGTGGTACAGTAAACAGTATTAGATATAGTAATGCAACAGGATGCTTAAATGCAGGATTATCCCCAAAATTTTATTTTCATGTGGCCTTCTGTTCTGTTCAACTTTCTCCTCTTTCAGTTTAGAATCATTTATTTTCCAACACTATATGTTGAAACCTTGCCGGTCATGGTAGCCAAGTGGTCTAAGGCATGCACTGTCTTCGCTTGCTTGGAAGCCGGGATCGTGGGTTCGAATCCCACTCAGGGCATGGATGTTTGTGTGTGTTTTTCTGTGTTTGTCTACAGGTAGAGGCCTTGCGACGAGCTGATCACTCGCCCAAGGAGTCCTACCGAATGTGTAAGATCTAGTAAACCGAAGTTAAACGGAGAGTTTCATGGAGGTAGGCCTAGGCCCAAATTGGGGCTGTAGTGCCACAGAAAAAGAAAATATGTTGAAACCTTATTGGATAAAACATGTTAAGCTCAGTGTTTCAGAGGAACATGCTTCTGCCATCTTCTGGGTCAAAGAGTGAACCATGCAAGAAACCAGCAGAAGCATTCAAGAAGCTGAGTTTCCTTACACTGTTTTTTTTTTTTGCCTGGCTTGCTGTATGACCCTGAAGATGGAAGCATTGTGTTCCTTTAAAATGTCGGGCTCTCTTCAGACTACACAACAATACAACCCAGAAGACAGTGTTCTTCGTGAATAAAACATGTTCTCTGATTGTAGAATCTGAAGGTTTCTCATAAGTTTTGTACACCAGAACTTTCTAATTCTAGCCATATGCCAAGCCCATTGTGATTCCTCAGATTTCACTCGCCTAGCAATAATATGTGACAAACATCTGTGTCATTAAGAAAAGTTTGTTCAATTCTGACACTTCTGTAGAAGTATCAAAAAAGAGATTTTTTTTGGTAAAGGATCATTGATCCTATACCCTGCACTTAATGCCAAAGATGGAGGATCATCCCTTGTCAGCTGTGTGTGTTCACAGCTATCCTTTGTATCTACATGTCATCTTCTCTGTTTTCAAACTAACAATGTACCATCCTGTGGTGATAGGGACCAAATTAATGTAATTAATTTAAAGAATAAATCTAGAAAAATGTAATTTTATTTGTTGCTTATGGGCTTGAAACTCTCAGTTTAAATGGAGAATCTGCATTAACTACAGAACAGACAGCTGGAAGTATTAGACAATAGAATGAAGTTTAGATGTTATAATAGACAGGAATTTTAACTCATAACATGTTTAGGTAATAACATTGTTATTTTTTTCTTTTATGTTTTATTTTATGACAAGGTTTTCCATGCTTTTCCGCAGTTCTTGCAGGTGAATGATAGAATAGTACCTCAACCCATAACTGCTTTCTTCTAAGTCCTTTTGAATTCATTATTCACCATTTATGGTACCATTCAGCTTAACCAATCTCTGGGCTGATATTTGATGGAAGAACCAAGGATAAACCCTTCTTTATATATGTGGTGTTCAGATGAATATGATTCTTGAGAATGTATTATCATCTTGTTTCACAAAAATGGCTTGTCACATGAGAAATTTCACATGACATTATAGCTCTGATTAACGTCCACAACTTTTACTTTGAACATTTTTTTATGCTGTGTGTGCTTTATGGAACAGAAGAAAAATGATACATTTCTGTGTACCATATTAGCTTAATCAGCTTTAGAATTGTATGTTAGCTTCATGTTATGAAATTTAGCATTCATTTATGCCATTATTTCAGCACCAGTTTGGTATGATGAAAAAGAAACAACATATTTATTGAGGTCTGTAATAAATTAACATCAGGGCGATAGAGGAATGTATTTTGGTGGGATATATCTTTCTACAGGAGATTTAACTCTTGTAATGTTTGCTACCGTTTGGTCCAGAACTTTTTGTCTTCTTGTCTGCTATCCAAAAACATAAAAATTAGAATATGCAAAACTATAATTTTGCTGTGGTTCTGTATGGGTGTGAAAATTGGTCTCTGACATTAAGGGAGGAACGTAAACTGAGGGTGTTTGAGAACAGGGTGTTGAGGAGAATATTTGGACCGAAGAGAGATGAAGTGACAGGAGGTTGGAGAAAACTGTATAATGAGGAGCTTCATAACTTGTACTCGTCTCCAAGTATAATTAGAATGATGAAGTTAAGGAGGATGAGGTGGACAGGGCATGTAGCACGAGTAGGGGAGACGAGGAATGCGTATAGGATATTGGTGGGAAAGCCAGAAGGAAAGAGACCACTGGGAACACCAAGGCGTAGGTGGGTGGACAATATTAAAATGGATCTTAGAGAGATAGGATGGGATGGTATGGATTGGATTGATCTGGTTCAGGATAGGGACCAGTGGAGGGCTCTTGTGAACATGGTAATGAACCTTCGGGTTCCATCAAATGCTGGGAAATTCTTGAGTAGCTGCAGAATTGGCAGCTCCTCAAGAAAAGCAGAGCTCCATTAGTAAGCAAGTATGTCTTTCTACTGTTTATTTTTGTTACACACAGGTTTATAAGATAAAAGTTTCACCAAATTTAAGAAATAATTGCTGATGTCTCTGGTCCCTTGACAGTTCCTGAATTGCCTCCAGTTAATGAAAAGCCAGTGCCGCCTAAAGGTCTGGTGAATCGCGTGTTTGGTGCCATGAGCTCCACGGTGAGATATGGCAACCAGATGCTGGATGTGGTCCAGAAGAAAACAAATGGTGTTGTAAGTAGTTTGCCTACAAAAGCTCTCTATTTTGGCCAGACACCAAGTTGATTTGAAGAATCTCACTTTGGATAAGTATGTTGTGGATCTTATTAACATTAACATGAGTGGGGTCTTCATGCCATTTTAAGTGTGTGTCATCTTGTTTACACTGTTTTGTTTTCATGTGACATAATGGTGGAGTCTTGACGTGTGGTTATGTTCTCTTTATAATACTCAGTATGTTATTCTAATAATTGTTGTTTATGTGATACTTAGATATTTCTAATATTACCTTAAGAGGTCAATACAATTGTCTAGGCAAGTGTTACCTTGATGTTTGAGATCAGTAAAAAGAAATACACATCCAATAAACTTTGATGGTCCTGTCATTTTTTTCTCATGCTTATACACACAGTTTTTAATGTATTAATATTTAGTTATTACTTCCGTAACTATTTTGTAGGACTTTGTTAACTTTACTCCATAATTGTAAAAATTGTACAAGAAAATGCAGGAAAACTCTCCACATTATTCTGTGTCACTAGGATAGTCTTAATTAACAATGAGTAATTTTTCTGGAATTATTGCTTCTCCCTGAAATAGAAGTCTCCGCAAAAATGATCTTTGATATCATAATAACTATAAAGGTAATTATTGTATTAATCATAATGGATAATAGTATCGGTAAAATACTGACTACTGTAAAGCAGTTTCCTGGTACTGTAAGCCTATATAAAGTTCCTCAGACAAGGACACCTAAATGCAAACAGTTGTTTAATGTTGACACAGCAGCAAAGTTTTCTTATGCAGAGCATTTTTGCTCTTTGGGCCAACTTGTGAGTGGTAGAATTAATTAAGGATTTGATGTCCGAGAGATCCAAAATTTGTAAGTACCAGAGATGTAGCAACTCAACATTTACTTAACAATATTTGAATATGTAGTGCACGATGAACAAGTAGATGTTTTAAAAGTTTAGTTTGCATACATTGAATTCGTATCAGTTTAATGCGTAAGTAAATACAAATGCACTCTGACAAGAAGATGACCAATAATCATGATTTTCATGTTCCTTTTTTTCTGATGGCAAAAAAAAAATGATTTTTTTCAGCCATTTTAGCATTAATTACATCCTCTTAAGATGCTGTTATAATTAAGAAACATTTTATTTTGTGTAGAAAATCACTAAGTTGTGAGTGAGGTTAGGTGTGGTTTGATATATGCATATGGTCTGAATTTGAAGTTGATTTATAATTTCAGTTATAACATGATATTCATCTTAATTATGTATGAAACGTAATTTGACGAGTTCTTCAGTTTTGGACTTTCATGAGTACATTCTTTAATTTTGTAATTACAAATCCTACCAAGAAACATGGTTCATAAAGAGCTTACAATCTTTATGTCATGCTACTTTAAGTTGCATTGTAAGTAGATCTGTAAAATGTGTTTTATCCACCCTGAACATCCAGTTGGTTTCAGGTAAATATGAAATCTGGACTAGGATGATGTTTTTGGATTTGTGGAAGTTTCAGAAACTTATGGGGTTTGCTGTGGATTCTCAAGAGGATGGAGATGTGATATAAGGGGGTTGTATTAAAACTAAATATTTTCACACTTAATTAGATAAAACTGTCACTGAGCTGAAGTTGGCTATGAGCCTTCTGTAGACCACATTGCCTTCTTGGTTGCTTACCACGTTTTTAACTGTTCTGTTAATCAGCTCTCTAGTTATAGTGTATTCAAATGACAACTTATGTATCCAGTTCTGACCAAAGGCATCACGAAAAATGCTTTTTTTCTTTATTAGTGCCCTTTTATTCTTCTTTTTCTACATTATTTTGTCCTCAGTTATCTTCTTCCTCAACTTTTTCTTCTTCCCTTCCACCTCTTCCTACTCCTTTATCTCGTGTTCCTTTGTTTCATCCTGCTTCTCATCTCCTACCTCTTCCTTCTCTTCTGGATCCTTCATTTCTTCCTCTGCATCTTCCTCCTTATCTTCTTCTTCAATGTCCTGACTTGCACAATTGTCCATTCAAGGTCTGGAAGGTCTTATCCAGTTCAGCTTGTCTTTCTGTATGTACATTATTCATTTTATGTGATGTAATTGAAGAGTTGTGTCAATCTCTAGTCAGTCATATAAATATATGCAAAAACATAAGTGAATGGAATTTTTCAGCTTCAATATTCTTCAAATATTTGTGTTCTAGAGTTTATGCACAGTATTTGTTCATCAAGTGCTGTTTGACAGATTGTTAAAAATGAATTATGGTTGAGAAAAGCACAAAAACAGCGCTGTTCTAAATGAATAATTGCTAGTGAAAGTTGAAGAGGCAGAATCTTAGAGGGACACTGTAGGTAAAACATGCTTGAGTTAACATCGCTTCTACAAAGCAGGAAGACAAGAAAAATTAAAGGTTTAATAACATATTTGTCACTATAGAAAGATAAGAATTTTATACTCTGAAAATGTGTGTGCATGGCTTGTATTTATCTGTTTAGGAAGTAAATGTATCGAAAGTAAGGGATGAATACGGTATGTTGTATGCTTGTGTAAACATCTCTGATGCTTCTGTGATAGGGTAACAGTGATTTGCATGTGTTTTGGTAGTTTGACTGATCTGCTAATTTCTGAAGGAAGTATATTTCACAATATTAACACTTTTCACTAGCATCAACATTAATGCATTTTAACTTTCAAATTTCCACATAAACTTACACTAAACTGATTGCTTTTTTTTTGTAATATTATTTGACATTAAGTGATATGTAACAGTTTTGATTATTAATTAACAGGATTTTGATGACAAATTTGTCAATTTGTTTCCAGTGAAATCGCAAATCATTCAAAGCTTTCCCTCGAGACTACATTCCAGATGAACTTGGGTAATCACCACTTAAAAATTCTTAGTTCTTTACTAATACATGCTTATTGTGCAAGAAGAATGGAAATATGCCTTGGAAACAGTGACAATACTGTGAAAACCCTGAAATTCAGTTTTTAATAGTGTTGTAGAAATGACCAGCAATTTGCAGCTCATATAACCCCCCCCACCCCCACCCATTATTCAGTCAATTCTGTGTGTTGTCAAAATGGTATTAAGTGTAAGCTTTGAAACATATTGGTATCACTAATTAAATGAAACTTGCATATGAACTTAATTTGTCAGTAAGAAATAGAGTGGAGTACCTTCAATAACATACCATTAATTATTAAGAAATGTGGTGCCATAGGCTAGATTATTTAACACCTTTCCTACATATATACATTGTGTGTCTGGCCCTAAATGTCAATGAAATAAAATATCATGTAGCTTTCATCAGGAAGTATGAGGGAGAAATTAATACATCATCAAAGACTGCACCTCACAAGATTTCTTATGTGCTCAGTAGATCTCAATATGGACACCATTAGTGATACCACATATTGGTGAGCATTCATTGGTGACACATTCTGTGTCTCTAACTGTTCTTTCACACAACTCATCCACGTTTTGCTCCTGTGTCTTACAAACCTGCAGTAGAGTAGAGTCTAAGATAATAATGTGGGGAAGAAAGAGGCCAGGGAATTGGGCTGCCTCTTCCTTTCCAGTGGTCAGGAAAAGGCATGAACACAATGGGAGAAGTGAGATGGTGCACAACCGAACTTGAAAACTGTTCCTGTAGGAATGATGCAAAGCAATTTCCTCTGTCATAGCTAAGAACTTATTACTGGCCACCAAATGTTCTTCAAAATGCAAAGGACTGTTCATGTTTTTCATCACAGCATACCACATGTTGACCGCTGGTAAATAACACATCATGTTCAGTACATTATCACATTTCTCACTCCCTAATACATTACATTTGACTTGTAGGTGTACAGAATGTTGCTTCATAAGAAGAACATTCTGTTGACACAGGTCTCGTCCTCTTCGGAGCAGGAAAGCATTTCTAATGGAAACTGAAACTAGTAAGCACACAATTTTAGTCTTTTGTGCAAAACCACATGCACAGTTGAGCAAGGCAGGCCTAATTCCAGATTTGCTTGGCAAAGAGACTTCCAGTGGGGTCCCTGAAACGTTTTGTGTATGCATTTAGCATTGTCCATTGACCCTGTATGGCACGGAGGACCATATTGTCACAGAACACATCTTGCCTGTTTCACATGCTTGTCTCAGTGGATCAGAAATCTGTATATTGGTCGTGCTTGGTTTGAATACACTTCAATGAACATCATTCGAAGAAGAGTGTAAATTTAAACTCTGTGTCAAGCATAGAATAATCCACTTCCTGCTACACTGAGTATATCTATCAGTCCATCAGATTGGACATTTACACAACAGCGTCGCGCATGAAATAGTATCAAATATTAAATAATAACATACAACATAACAACCATTGTGTATATAATATGTCTGTATAAATATTACATATATTACGATTACAACTGCCAACTTCCAAATACCATCATGTATATGAAAACTTGGAGAGAGTTATCACATTACATGAAAATGTCCACAGCTTAATGTCTGCTTAATTTTGTGTACATTATATTTTATTTTGTTGATATGTAGGATTGGACATTCTGTATGTGCTCAGTGTTTTCTGTAATAGAGATGCTAAGTCATTACAGTCAGGCTCAAGACAAAAAATTATGCAGTGAATTATTTTTATATCCCCTAAATATGAATAATATAGATATATTTTTATAATAACTGTTATATTTTGATGAGCTTTTGGTGTTATGTTTGTATTTATTTTTAATGTTTTAAGGAAATTAGTTAAATAAAGTAACTATATATTTTATGGAGCTATGAGATGATTTTGAATATTTGGAAATGCGTTCCTGTATGTAGTTTGTTTAATTGTAATAATTTCTTGCAAGAGTTGGCTCCTCTGTCATGCTCACGTAATGACTGAAGTAAAACAAGCTAAGCTGTGTGAATTATTGAGGACTTTCTCATCTCACCAATGTCCCATGATTGAATGAATATGTGCTTCGAACAACATGTATCATCAGGTGTCATCACAAATTCAGAATTGACATTTAGAATCACAGAACTTTTGTAACCAGTGGTTTTCAGATTAATGCTTAGTTTTGTAAGGCTAGTTCTTAAAGACAATTTTTAAAAATTTGCTTCCAAAACGTTTTTATTCTAGTCTTCTGTTGCAAATATCTCAATCAAAGTCGAATGATAACTTGTGGAAACACTACTTCAGCCATCTTCTGTTGCAAATATCTCAATCAAAGTCGAATGATAACTTGTGGAAACACTACTTCAGCCATCCAATCATTTCATGCTGTAAAACCTGAGTTACTGACTGAATTATTAAGTTAACTACAAACAATAAACAACAGCAGGAATGTGAGATATAAGGAAATGTTCAAGAAAATTTTCACAAAACTCTGTTAATGTATTTTGTTAGTTCATATACAGCAGACAGAAATCTATTGTTGCAACATTAATCACCCTGTGTATATTACACTGCGCAGTCATAAATTATTTTTCCTTATATCTTTCAAAAATAGTCATTAGGTTAAGAAATGTATGAATTTAAAAACAATTTATTGCATGATGAGAAAAATCACTGAGTTTCTCTTTCTGTTTCATGTAAAGTAGGTGATATATTAACTGGCCTGCCACGAACAAACATATTATTTACCATACAACGTTTAGTGTAGTCCCCAGATACCAGACGTAATTGGAATCAGCCCTGTTACTGAGTTTAAGAGATCATGGCGCTCTTCCTTCATTTTCCCATTTGTCTTCAGGGTATGGTGCTTAAACACAGGACAACTTGAGCTTCCATTTAGTACTAAAGAAGATGAAATATGCAAACAAATGGACGTGATGCATAATATCGCATAAATGGGAAATGTGCATCACACATACAGGTAGAATCATTCTTCTGTCTTTTTTTTTTTATTGTATCTTGGTTTTTGCCTTCGTTTTACATACTGTAGGGATGCTTCTGTTTCATTCCTGATGGCTGGAGTTTGATTCCTGGCAGGGAAAAGAGATTTTTCTCTTGTCCAGTGTCCAGACTGGTTCTGGGGCCTACCCAGCCTCCTACACAATGGGTACTGGGGGGTACTTTCCCTAGGGTAAAGTGTTTGGGGCATAAAACCTACTGGTCACCTCAGTCGAGCTGTTATCAAGAATGACAGAGCTACACTTGCAGCCACCCATATATATCATCATGGTGTGGTGCCTGATGAAATAACTTTACCTTTACCTTACACTTTTTATCACACTAAATCACATTGTTTATAAAATGACAGTATCAGGCTGTGCTTGCCCCTCTGCTTTCTTGGATGTAATTTTTTAGTGCACAGTACAATGAGTTTCATATGTTCATTCTTTTTAAGATTTATGGTCACATAAAATAAGTTGGCTGAAATGGTAACGTTTCAGACTTGTATTTAGAAAGTGTTTGTCTTGAATCTTGGCCAGGACACTTGACTATTCAGAGTTTTCCTCAGTCCCTCCAAGAAAACTTGCCTGAAACTAGGTCACTATTACTCTCACTCCATTTCCAGTGCTTTCACACTCATTGAGTCAATTGGTGCTGTATTTGGGATTACTGCCAACATTGTTAAATAAACTACAAGTATATAATGTCACATTGCTGAACCATTGTACTGAATCAATGAGTATTTCTATTTCTGAACATGTAAACAGAATTTTTGTGATATCTGAAATAAAATACTCATACATGTCCTGTTTGAAATTGTATAGAGATTTGGTGAACAGCCATGAATAGAAATTAATTTTTTATTCACCCCTTGTGGGTAAAATAGGTCAGAAGTTTGGTTTTCCTTGAACTAAAAGCTGAATTTTGTTTAACAAATTAAAACAGTATTAAGACCTATACAAGTAAAAACAACACAGCGTGCCACGAACGACCACAGGACGACATCAAAGAACCTTCTTCTCAAGAAAGACAGGTTGCACAAGTTTGGCCCCTGTCAAGAGAGGTGATAAGAGAGAGGACACCAACCTATTTGGTTTATAAATTCTAACTTAAATAAAAAAAGTTTTAACAAATTTTAATATATCAAGACAGCCACTGTAGTTGTGCAAACTCTGGGTTTTGTATGCATTTGTGTATGGTGAACATTGTATGTATATATATAGTTTAACATTCAGAACACCCATTGTAATAGTGGTTTCCAAACTGTATTGATGTCCCTCTGATAATGGTCTGTAAGGACCGAAACATGTAAGGGCATGAAGAATTGAAATAAGAAAAACTTCACCAGTCACACTGGACGGGATTGTTTTATCTCTTATAATATTGTTAGTGTGACAGACCAGAATGAAACAAATCAAATTCACCTATACATTTAATTTCAAGAGTGGACAGATCACATTGATAGCCCATTCTCTAACTCCATTCTGAAAAGGGTTATTTGGTCTCCATTTAAGCAGATAATTGTTAAAAGTCAGTTGTGTACTTAAATTTAAGTACCAGCTTTAATTATACCTTATAGGTAAAAGGTGAAGTTGTCCCTGTGATTAACTAATTAAGCACTATGCCATGAAGGCGTTTGGGGAGTCCAAAAATTAATATTTTAAAATAATTATAAGTTTTTAATAATGAAACAACGTGTGCAAGAATGGAAATTGTGACAACAGGTAAACATTGTCAGATGAATTAAATTTTCTAACCCCATTTTAAAATATTGCCATACTTTCTCGATAATTCTGCATTAATATTCCGATGTGTATAATTCTTTAACTTTGTTTTCATTATTGGCTCATGTTGTAAGGGAATGATGTACTGTTTTATCACATGTTTAGCGCAATACAAATATAAAATATAATATAAAATCCCCAGTCTCGTTAAAAGCAAGTCTTTCATAAACCCAGTTAACGACTGGCAACTTCTCAAATAATAGACAAATGCACTCCAATGTGCTAAGAGTTTTGTTTAACGCCAAAGAATGCTCCTGCAGCCCCATAAATACCACATACTTAGAAACACGTGTTGCAAGATTTCTTGTTGTAAAACACGACTGTACACGTGTACCATTCTTTAGCATGTTCGAAAAGCGAGTGTACATGTAGAGTGAATACGAAGTGGCACCCCCAGGGGAATTCCCCGTTGTTCTCCTCCCCCTTCTAACCAGTCTCGTTTGTTTCATCTTTCGACCGCCGTGAATCCCCTAGCCGCCCGTAACGATATTAGGTCTACCTCCGGATCATTTACCAACAAAATAGACTCCCAAACCAACTAACAGGAACGCAATTATCTCCAGAATGGATTGTTACGCCGTAATGTCCAGGTAAAATGGGTAGAGCTTCGAGGTTGTTCATCTCAGTCCATCGTACAAGCCCTCAAGGGACCCGCCGTTGTCAGTCGCTGGGTTGGCTAAACTCATCTGCATCCTCCCGACTTGGTCTGCTTTCCGCATAACAAAAGAGAATGGGATTATAATTGAATCTGAGAGAGACATAGTCTAACTCAATTTAGCATGATATGGTCGAGGGATTTGATGTATGTATACATGTATGTTTTGCGGAAGATAAAGGGGAGGTTAGGCCGGCAGTGTGTAATGGTGTTATAATAAACAAAACCATCGTACCGTAGATTTCTCTACTGTCGCCGTAGGCGTAACTCTTGGAAAACAGACAACATATAGAGAACTCATCGAATCGTAACTAAAATTCTTGTAGGGTAGAATAATATCCGAATAGAATTCATTACATGTACCCATATATATGAGGTTGTAGAAAAGGAGCACTGATTTTAATCAACTTGTTCTTTGACGCAGTACATATATGTATGCGCTACATGCTGGAATCCAGAAAAGCGTAAAATGAACCGTATGCATATACCTTAGGCAACCCTTTCTACGGCGGTGTATTATAGACAGTCTAGTTTGCTTTGATTCTCCTGCCATCTGGCCGCGGTTTCAGCAATACTATGACACGGTTCGAGGAAATGCCGAAAGATGGCGCTAAAAGTTCATTTTGTTATGCCAATTTTTTTGTGTTGTTTTGTCTTGCATAATCTGTTTTGTGTTTCATGTGATTAGAAAGACTAAATATTTAAATGCCTCATCTATTTAGGATTTGTCATTGAACCACTCGTATCTTTCTAGCGTAAATCATTTGTTTCTGTCAACTGCAGTATATCGATAATACTTCTTTCAATCAGTACACGTGTATGAGTGTTAAGAGTGCAGTATCGTATTACTACATCAAAGAGTTGTGTCGTTGGTGAACCTTATTCTTGCAGTGATGCAAAATAAACTGAAATAAGTGCGGTTTACGTTCAAATAATGTGGGACATGGACATTCATCGTAGCGGGGATGCCTCGGCAAGGTAAAGATTATAAACTTTTAGACTAACTGATTGATCCATTTGACTGAAGCTCATTCCTTGCAGGTTATAACCTGAAGATATAAGTATTAATACTCTGACATTGATCATAGACTGCCTGACATATTAATTATATTTGTATTTAAGATATTTAAAATTCGTTGGCAACTCCTGTTAGTTACATTGCAGTGTTTTTTTTTATCAAGGACAACCCGTAAATTCACGTTCAGTGACATGGGAATTGGGTACATTTGATTAGAGTAGGTTGGGGCACCTAATACTATTGAGGGTTAACCTCAAATGTCAGCTACAGTCATACAGTTTATTAAATGTAGTTAAAAGCTACGTATTCCTTTTCGAGCTGTTTCATGCGTGCAGATAGACGGAAGAACAGAGTGATTTCAATAGACTCTTCGCAGGAATTCGTGCTCAAATATGGCGCGAACAATAGTTGCCGGGAGCGATATCTTGAATATGAAT